GCTGATAATGTTAGTAAAAAAAATTTTTGAAAAATTTCATTTCAAAGACAAAATATCTTAAATTTAAAAATTCAGTTTTAGCCATAAAAACACAAAAATTCTCGATATTTTCAATATTTCAATTTAAGATATTTTGTCTTTGAAATGAAATTTTTCAAAAAATATTTTTACTAAAATTATCAGCATTGAATGTAGTTTAAAAAAATACAATTAAATATATTGAAATATAAAATTATTTGTCGTCCCCATAGGTTAACATGGAAAAATTGGCTTACTTTGTACACTTGCCATGTAAAAACGTGCAATTCAATAATAATGGTTCTTGGTTATTATAACACTTTGACATTTCCTTTATCCAACCCTAACCCCACCCCTCCCTATAACAAACACAGTAGGCTTTGAATATGGGTCTCGCAAATCATCCATTTTCTCAAATAAATAGTCACGTGATCTTAAAAATTTTTATGTCAAAAAAATTGCCCGACGTAGATCTATATATGTGTGAAGTCTCACTATTGTCACTTCAACAGTTCCAGAGGAATCGCAAAAGAAACACGATCAATTAATATTGAACAGCCTTTTAGTTTACTTTTTTAAAAACTAATTACATTGTTTTGTGTTGTTTTATATACAATATAAAGTATACTTACTTTACTTTCCTTACATTATCGAATAAATAGTATTTTTAATTATTAAGTTTATTAATTATTTCATTATCAAATAGTATACTGTTACTGTAATAGCACTCTATGTATCTAGGTTCATTAAATCATGTGTTTAACTGACATTAATGTAACTTAAGATTAATTATAATCCATTATCAATGCAATAAGTGTAACAAACTGTATAACAGTTAATGTAACAAATACCATAAGACTTATTATTAATAGTTATTCTCATTTTTTATTTAAATTTAAATTATTTTAATAATTAAATAATAATTAACAAATAATAAAATTGTGTTTAAGCGCAAAATTCAAACTTGATATAATTTAGTAAACCTGAAATAAATAACTTTTTACAAACAATGAATATTAATTTAAATTATACACTACAAATCTACTCTATATTAATACTGTAGTATTTTATGATAGAATAATTTAAACAAGTTAATTTATTATATTCGTATTTATTTTGATTTAAATTGTGAACAAATAAATTATGAACTAGTATATGCGTACGAAAAAATAATTAAATTATTATATTAATAGTTTATGTCAAACATCATAAAGTGAATATAAAATATTGGTGGCATTTGAACAGTGTACGCACTTATAACTTAAAATTAATAGCACAAAATTAAACTAAATGTTTTAAACGTGTGTTTTACATGGTTATTAATTTGTAAAAAATAAAGTGTTCAAATGTGCATGATACAATACTTAATTATAATGACAACACAAAAGTTATATAAAGCAATTTAAACTACATAATAATTTATATGATAAATCACTAACCAAGTTTTTAGTAACTACACAAAAAATGTTTGCTAAAATATTTGTCCTAGCTGTATTGCTCATGGTAAACCATTGCTATTATTATGAGTCAGCTATAATTTTATTTTATCTATTTAATCATTTAACTATGATTACATTATTATCAATTAAATAAAATTTATTTTATAATTAAATGTAACGTTCTGCATACTAAAAATAAATAGTAAACAATAAAATACTATAAGTCACGTGAGTCGTAATATTATATTATTTATTATGCTTCAATTAAAATAATTGTTACATTGAATGTAAATCCCTTCCTCTATTATTACTTAAACAGACAAAAGGCAAAAGTACACACAAATACAACAGTAACATATAATAGAGGGTAGATAACAGAGTTTGTGGACGGGGCTGACGGCTAGTATATATTATTTAAAGTTATGTCATCGGGCACGTGGTATGAGGTGTAGCAAATTTATGTTTTTCACACGACTTTCCTGTGGCCTCCAAAGCCGTCACCAATTTGGTCTCTATATTTACCAGTTTAACCACTTCAAGGACTGTGCATGGTGGGTACTAATTGTATTTAAATTGAAATAGTAAATTAAATTATCGTCATTATTCGGCAAAACTATTAATTATAGCACTAACCTTTGCAGATGGTGTTATACAATCAATCTCGTTCCACGTGACACAGCAAGTGTATGCGGGGTCCTTGTTTGTCGGGTCGTATTTGGGCACTTTGGTATTAAAGCATGTCATGACATCTTTGTTAATTTTATTAAAACAGGGATCGTTAACCAAGTCTTGCATCGCATCGTTGCTACTTTCGGCCAGCAATTTGTTCAAAAACCCTTCACCATAGGCGTTATGGGCCACCACAGACAATACAGCCAGGACAAATAATTTCGGCATCGCATATAATAGTTAAGAGTTACTTTTAAAACTGAATGAAGTATATGTTTTGCTGATTTATATGTGGTATTCTTTTCAGGATATTGGATATATTGATTGTTAAATTTTAAATATTAAGCAACACATACTTGAGAATAATTATCGATTGATTTTGCGTTTTAGTTTGTTATCAATATACTGTCAGCGTGATTTTATAATCCAGGTGAGTTATTCTCTCAAATAAATTATCTTTAACCTAAGTTATTTACTATATGTGAATAATTATTTTTCATGAAAATAAATTTCTGATATTATTATATTTATAATGATTTAAATTAAATTTATTTTACTTGTATTTATTCTATTATACTATAAATTTATTAAAATAATCTAAAGTAAAATACATAAAATAATAATATATAGTAATAAAGTATATTTAAACCTATTACATTTGTTATATTTTTAAAAAATGTAATCAATTATATTGTTACGATCCAGGAGTTCACAGAGTACCTAGGTACTTGTCCCCGTGACTCCTGGTCGAGTGATCTGTAAAATATGACTATAATATACAGATTAATAAAGTATTTAAAATAAAAAGTCTTTAATTTATTATTAAAAAACATTTAATTTTATTTAAAATCTCAATGAATAAAATAGACATAGTATGCATACTAAACATTACAAATAGTTAACATTTAATTAACATTAAGACTAATTATAAACTAAAATGAATAAAAGTTTCATGTTTTCCAAAGAGTCTCTACTCTAAACCCTAAACAACTATCTCTATGCTATCCAAAACTCATTCTCCTCATTAGTTTATCATTCATCCAGTTTTATACATAATTTTACAATAATTCTTAAATGTAACATGATCATTTACAAGTATACTGTGAATACGTAATGAGTGCGAATGAGTGCAACAAATTAGTATTTAAAAACTACTACTGTATAAACTAATACTGCATATAAACATGATACTTTTGAGCTAAAATATTAAATCTAATAACAATTAATAGTAAATTAAAATAAATAAGAATATTCATAAATACAATTTACGACATTCGTAACAATATTTAAAATAAAGTTAATCTTTTTATTTTAACAACTAGGACTGCCCGCGGGTTAGTGGAGTGGGCGGGTTAGTGGAGTGGGCGGGTTAGTGGAGTGGGCGGGGTTAGTGGAGTGGGGTCAGGTGGTAATGTGGCAATTAATTAAAATGTATTTTTTATTTGGTTTTATTGTATTTTTGTGTAGTTTTTTCTTACGAATAATC